GATCTACATATGATTTTTATTGATTTAGAAAAACCTTACGATAAGATTCGAAGAGAAGTCCTTTCGAGAGTTCTAGAGAAAAAAAGAGTCTTGATATGACTTTCAATTCATTAAAGATATGTATACTAGAGCTGTTACTTTTGTTCGAAGAAAAGGAGGAATGACCAAGTATTTTCCTATTTCAGTTGGATTACATCAGGGATCGGCTTTAAGCCTATATCTTTTTTCTTTAGTTATGCAAGCGCTTACTGGATATTTACTGGAGGACGTACCCTAGTTTATGCTTTTGACTGATGATGTCCTTCTCGTGGATAAGACTAGAGAAAGAGTTCAGAAAAAACTTGAATTATGAAGGTCTACATTGGAATCTAAAGGCCCTCATTTGAGTAGAACTAAAACTGAATACATAAAATGTAATTTTAGTAGTAGCAGCTTTAGTGGAAGATTTGTAACTGTGGGTGATCAAATCATTAAAAGATGTGAACGCTTTAGCTACCTTGGGTCTATTGTTCAGAGGGATGGTGGTTTAGTTGGGGGTGTTATTAGTATAATTCAAGTTAGTTGGTTGAAATGGAGGAATGCTTCGGGCCTACTGTGTGAAAGGTGGCATAGGACTGGCAAGGAAGTGGACTACAAGTAAAAAGCTGATGACAAAGAGCACACGGGCGACTAGGGGTGGGATTGTGAGCTTGTTACCGGTAAAAAACTTGGCAATCATAGGTGTTTGCATGGCGAGATATGTAATAGGGTGGTTGTAAGATCGACAGCTAGAGCACAAAGGCCAACAAACATGAGTGGTCGGTCGCATTAGCATCAATGTGGATGAAGAAATTGAAAGGTAGATCACTTAGTACATAGCTCACATAAGTACACAGCTCACATAAGGAGTACCAACACGACCGGAAAATGGGCAGATGCATACGGGGTTTACTCTAGCAACAAGACATCCATTTCAGTGAGGAGAGCAGCTTGCAGAGAGGTGGATATATAAGTAAAATGTAGGCTTATATTGGCAATAGGTGTTCAAAAACACAAAAGACTCTCACAACAGCGGGTTAGTTATGTATGCTAGAATCGATGATCTTCAGTCGATAACATTAGATGGTGAGAACAAATCAGAGTACAGACACCCACAATCGATGGATGAGTTAACGATCGTTTCCCTCACAATTCAATGTAGCGTAAAAACTCAAAATTCTATTTATTTAATTAAAACAATAATATTAATATTTAGTTAATTAAAATTTTTTAAAATAAATTGTATGGGTAAATTTAATCAAAATTTATTATTCTATTAATTTAAATAATATAAATTTAAGAGATATTTATTTGCCAAAAAAAATATTGGAATAAGATAGTATAGCTAAACATAAATAATATTTAAATAAAAAAGAAACAAATAATGTAGCAATATGAATGAAGCGACAAAAAGGGGGGTTAACTACCCTTTTGTGAGGAGATGAAAGAGAAAGAGAAATTGAACCATTGCAGATGGATCAGCAAGCACGCAATTAGGGCGTATGAGAACAAGATAAGCATAAGACGCCGGTTGTTCAACAGTGAAGGTTGGTGCTGTTCTTCTTTTCCCTCTTTAAGCTCATAGAAAAGTTTTTACTTTACTTTTTATTTATAATTTATAAATCCTAGACCTGACTTTTATTTTCTAAAAAACATTTTAAGGTTTTTGATATCCGAGTTAACCCCTAATAGATAAAATAAATATTATTACCGAAACCAAACAGACGTTTACAATCAAACACGCTTGAAAGAGAAATAACAACAAACACGACACAAACTCAAACTAGGCCTCGATCCATGGGTGGTGGAGGTCGGTTAAGCGGTCAGTGAGCGGAGGTAGGTAACAAAAATGGGTTGTGGTGGTTAGAATAACAAAAGGAGGGGTTGTAATTGCATTGGAAGTGAAGCGGAGGGCTGAGACAGCGAGGGCAGCAAGTGGGGTGGCAAGCAGAGCAGCGAAGCACAGTGGGAAAGGCTAGAACTGCCAAGAAACAGTCGGAAAACAACAAGTTTGTTGTTTTTTGATTGACAGCGATGAAGGGGCGAAGCGAGGGATTGCATGACAAAAAGGGTCGGTTGTCCGGGATGGTAGCAATGAGCAAAAAAGGGCTACAATGTGAAAATTGTGGTGAAAACAACAAATGAGTGTTATTCAGGGTGGCCACAATGATGGAGGATGGTTGGGAGAAAGATGTGGAAGGAGATAGAGAAAATAATCACCACCTCGGAAGAGAGATACCACTAGAACACCACTCAATCCCTTGGATACAACCTTGAAGGGAGAAGAACGGATGTCGATGGTTATCCTAAACAAAACACACGAAATACTAACTTAGAACGCGAAGAAATAATATATATAATACTAGGATAACTAAGGAGTAGCATAATCTCCTGACAAATCAATCTTGTAGGCATTAACATTTCATAACACGCCTTGATAGAATAAATATGCATCATCTTTTCACACATCTTGAGCTGGAGTTGCACATAGATGTAGGTTCCTACAATGTAACTCTCAAACTCTTAAGTCTGAAATCTTCTTCCACATCTTTTAGTCAATAGAATGTACCTGATAATCAAATATATGAGGAGAAATCAACTTTGGAATGAAATTTGTGTCGAACTGTTCCACTCTCACTAGTAACCACTCAGGAGAAACCTCTTCTTCTTCACTGACAGAACATAGATCCCATTGAAGAATATTCTTCCCTATCAAGCTCCTGAGATAGTTTTCAAAGCTGTGATTCATCCCTCATGCCTAGACATCTGATGGTGGGTACACTGCTGAGCTGAATCTAATATCTGAACAACTTTATATAATCTTTCAAAAGTTACTCAAAATCTTCTCACCTTTGAGGAGTTGGACCTCCCTCAATAAAGACAGCTCAAAAGATAGGCAATATATTTGAACAGTTTGAAATCTTCTTATACAATGTTGCCCTGTGTTCAATATCGACTTCTCAAATGACAATCCTACTAATGCTACTCCAAATGCCTGCAAAAATGTAGTTCAACGCACCATATCCTCATACTTTGTATGAATGCCAATAACATTAGACTCACTACCTTCTAGAACTGTTATTGTCAACTCAGTTGAAATCTCTCTCCTGGGTTCAGTTGAAATCGATGGCCCTCTTTCTCGTTGGCTGACAATCGGTACGCCTCTTTGTATCCTCACTCTCTGTCGTGTCTACCATGTCATTGTCTAGTTTTTCAATTACTTCATGATTAGTCAAAGAGATTGTTTTCCTTGTGCAATCTGATTTAATATGTCCAAATTTGTGGCACTTGAAACACTTCTTGGCGGGGACAAATTTGAGAATGTTCGTTAAAAACCACTCAAAAGTAGTGTCTTGTCAGGCGAGGTCGACTTAAATTTTTCCATGAGTATACACTGGTTGTAAGATATTGGGGTCGAATCCTAATTGTGAGAATTGGTAGTTGTCTGATGATGTAGTTTCTTCACTTTTCTTCACTCTTGAAGCTGCGGTATGAACATCCGGTCTTTCGTGAATTGGTAGGTACTGACGCTTCACCTCTCATTTCATCTCAAACCAAGTAGTGATCTTGTCTTTTTTCTCATGTTGACTTAGGTACTCCTAATTTTGCTTAAAAAATAATGCACTTTTTTTTAGCTTGCTGGAAGCTAGTTTCATCATTTGTTTGATGGGACCTCCTAAAAGTCAAATGCAAATTCTAAGGTTTAGAGCCACTCGATGAACTCGTTCGGATTCATGTGATCGTTGAAATATGGCAAATCCATCTTTACTGCAAAATTTTGACTTCTCGGATATTCCATTCATATCATCAAGATAGAGGTCCTTCATCACTGGAATCTGCATGGTGAAAGAGATTTACTCCATTTCTTTGATCTAACAAGTTACAACTGCAGCTATGGGTGACCCATCTGAATTGCCTCCTCTTGAAGGTGGTAAGCCTCTATTGTAATTAGCGAGTTTCCCACTGTACATCCTCCATAGAAATCCCTTGGACACCTTTTTATGAATTTCTCATAAATGACATCATGTCATTTCCCCTTGATTAGGCATTTGGCGATTATCTCCTCGGCAACATCACTACATTCTAAGGTTTAGAGCCACTCGATGAACTCGTTCGGATTCATGTGATCGTTGAAATATGGCAAATCCATCTTTACTGCAAAATTTTGACTTCTCGGATATTCCATTCATATCATCAAGATAGAGGTCCTTCATCACTGGAATCTGCATGGTGAAAGAGATTTACTCCATTTCTTTGATCTAACAAGTTACAACTGCAGCTATGGGTGACCCATCTGAATTGCCTCCTCTTGAAGGTGGTAAGCCTCTATTGTAATTAGCGAGTTTCCCACTGTACATCCTCCATAGAAATCCCTTGGACACCTTTTTATGAATTTCTCATAAATGACATCATGTCATTTCCCCTTGATTAGGCATTTGGCGATTATCTCCTCGGCAACATCACTAGGTTTTGTGTGTGGGTAGGTGGAAGGTGGTGTGTAAGGGTGATGCAAAATGAGAAAGAAAAATTTTAGGTAGAGAAAGGGTTGGGCATTAGTGGATGCTAGAAACCCTAGAATAGGACTCGGGTTAGGTTAACTCTAAAATACCAAATAATACTGGAATTAACCCAATAACAATAAGAAATCAAATAATATTACTGGAAGCAAACACGCAGTTACAATCAAACACACTTGAAAGGAAAATTACAACAAACGAGACAAACTCATACCAGAGCTTGATTTTGTTGTCCCAACCACCCCCAACCCATTTTAGCCACCTAGCCCCACTCATAAATATTGCCTTTTAGAGTTTAACACTTGATGGATATAAAACCTAAAATCTTCCATCCAAACTAGGTAGACAAAACATAAAAAAATGACATTCTAAAACAACACTTTATATGCACTGCGAATTCCTTAAATTATTAGATAATACCAATAACCAAAATAATGGCATCCATAAATTCAAAGAATTACATACCTTGAAAACATGGGAAAGCTCACCACAAAATAAATAGCATAAAACAACGAACCAACTTTGTACATTGACGCCCGATCAACGAAGTCATAATAAGGAAACTGCAACATTAAGAGCAACGGGCGTCTTATAAAAGCTTTTGAAAGCAAGTAAAAAGAAATGGTAATTCTGATCAATTCAAACTTATAGCCATGTACAACGGAAAAAAAACAGAAAAAAGGTTTAAGAAATTTACTATCCTTTCAGTTTGAATAACGCCTACTCTGTTAACATCAGCAGAATTATCCTCATCCCAACAATTTGGGGTCAGCTTTATGAATCCTCAAATTCCATGAATTCCTATCAAGTGTAATTTGAGGTGTTGAACATATTCAATGCAAATCTTTTTTGAACAACTTGTATCCAACATTACCATTAATCTAACCACTTTTCCTCATAATGACTGAGAAAACCTCTCTACATGTCTTGAGCGTGTATTTTACACTCATTTGAGCATGTCCAAGCCATGTAAGTTTATTTCTCACCACGAACACTTGTTAAAAAGCATGAAACTCGCATTAAAAGAGAAATAAGCTCAAATTTGACTCAAGAATTGAAATCAATTTTGAGTTGATCTTGAGTTTGACTAGATGCAAATGCCATTTATATAATATATATATATATATATAACTTAAAATCAGCACTGCCCACCACTTTTATCTTCAAGATATATTATGCTAGAGAGTGAAACCAAAGGAATGCCAAGTTGGGTTAAATACACTAATAATTAAGCCCATATTCATCCCAAATTGATACTTTTACACCGTCACATTTTTTGCTAATTTGATGCAAGGCTAAATAATTGAAATCAAATTTGATTAGCAAACAAGTCAAACACAAACAAATTTATTGAGCTCGATATATAAACGAGCTAAACATGAACAATAATATTTTTTAACAAGTCAAGCCTGGGCTCACTTAAGCTCGGCTTGTTTACACCACTAACAGTTGCATGCATGACTAAGGTTGTCAAATTCTTGAACAGCTCGTGTTTGGCTCGTTTGCACGAACAAATTTTTTGTGTTCGAAATAAAAAACAAGCCGAACACGAACAATGGTATTTTTTAATGGGCCGAACATGAGTTGAGCCCAGGCTCGCTCGTGTTCGGCTCGTTTGCACCCCTACAAGAAACAAGAAGAATTATATAATACACTTACAAAGAGTAGAAAAGCTCCATACAAAATGCTAAGAGTTTTTTTCTAAATGGAAAAAGAAATTTCTAGACCGCCAGCTAATCCTATTTTCCAAAGATAATTGAGTCACTAATTATCATGAAAGTTAATCAAATCCATAAATTTTAATTAGGCAAGTATTCCTGATTTACATTGAGATTTCAAGAATATCATGAGCAGATATAACTAGCAGCTTAACCTGTATGGTGCATACGGCATATTTACTAAAAATTAAAAGCTGCGTTACATTTTTTACAAAGAAGTAAATATGTAGGCATAATATCTGTTAACAAGTTCAGTATAGTGCTTCAACATAATTGTTTCATCTTATATTTCATTGCTCGATAATTTTGAAATGATAGCTACACTAATAATGAGAATATTAATTGAAATGGCCCTAACCAGCCATAATCAAACTGCCAGATTAATGTCATAATACCTTAACTACTTCTGATACCACCGAAAGCTAAGAAAATTAGTAAAGTCAACCATTCAAATGCAGCGAGCCAAATAAAATTTTCCTCAAACCGTTTCAAAATCATTGGTTGACAAGCCGGAAATAAGAAACAAATATTTTCAAATTCTCACAAACTTTCCATTTGAAAGGATTATGCAAAAACAAAGCTTCTCAACATTTAAAATGACAATGAAATTGATAAAAAAAACATCTCACAAGTACTGCAATAAAAATGCAAAGACATACATTTGAAATTGCCAATGTCTCCAAGTATGCTATGAAATAAGAGAAGGCTAAAATCCACGCGGCTTCAGTGACGAACCGGATTGATGGTGGCAAATCTGTGATAGTGTGGCGGAGTCTACGAAGTATAAAATTTGATACCATGTGGTAGAATAGGAAGCAAACGTGAGTGAGAAGGAATGTTGTATGAGGTACCTACCACATTAAATAAGAAACACATGTTAGGTTAGGCTATGTAGCTGACTCTGGTTGATATTAACTCATCCTGACCATCATATATGACATGCAAAACCTCAATCAAACAGGAAGAAGCTTTCTGCATCATTCTATGATCATCATTTTTCTTCAACATAAGATACATAAAGGAATTCAAAAGTAAAACTCATACCATAATGCACAAAAATATGTAGTTGGTTATGTCAAAATCTTAACCGCATGCATGAATGAAATAAAACTACACTTCTAATTATATACAACAACAACAACAATAAACCTTTATCCCACTAAGTGGGGTGGGCTACATGAATTCTTTTCTCCATTGCATCCTATTGAGTGTCATATTTTCATTTAATTCTAATAAATTAAGATCATTTTTTATGCAATATGCCCAAGTCTTTTTAGGTCTACCTCTCTCTTTCTTAACATAAGTTGAATCTAAAACATCTAATCTCCTAATCGGATCATCAAATAGTCGACGTTTAATATGACCAAACCATCTAAGACGACTATCTAATTTTTCACTGGAGCTACACCAACCCTATCACAGATATATTCATTTCGCATTTTGTCTCTAAATGTAAAGCCACTCATCCACCTAATCATTCTCATCTTCGCAACAATTACTTTTATGCTTCTCTTTTAAAGGCCAACATTCAACGTCATAGAGCATTACAACTCTCACCAACATCTTATAAAATTTTCCTTTCAGTCTAAGGGTCTGCTTGGGGCAGCTACAACTTATCAATAAGCTTCCCCAGCGGGGAGTTGGCTAGCTGTTTATTTTCTGCGATGTGAAAACAACTGTGAGGCAGCTGTTTCTAGACAAATGACCATTATGCTCTTGTGTAGTAATGTTGTTTGTAATAGAACGGTTCTAGCCACATATTTGATACATTCACATCCACTCTGCTAGCACAATTTCCAACGTTTACAACTATATTCATTTCAGGAAGCCAATTTTTAAATACATTTGCCCAATTAGATAAAGTTGAAAGAGGAACAACAACAATGAAAGGGCAAGTAACCAATATCAAAATGGGAACTGCAAAAAGCCCACCTAAAGAAATCCCAAGTCATAGCCACCCAAGCCACAACCACACAATTGATATGTATTCACATTAATGCCCAAGCCACAACCACCAAGAACTCCAAAGAACAATAAGAACAATCTAACATTAATGTCTAAGCCACACCCACAATAAATTTCTTTTTCCTTTTTTTTTTTGTTAGATCCTCGAGCAACCCACCCAAATGATGTGTATTCACATCAATGACCATGCCACAGACAATATAGACCCTCACTCAAACATATCTAACATCATATTGTTGTCATACCAGGCCACCTCCTCAAAAAAAAAAAACTTCATACAATTTAGCAGACAA